CTAGGATGATATAGGCATGCTTGAAACATTTCACTGAGCGAAGGCAGTAAGCCGAGACGGCGCAGAATAACATACAAAACAAAGCGGGAAAAGATGTGTAAATTTGACGCTCTCTTGTTCTCTGTAGTAGGATTGCTAGTTCTCCGAACTCATTAAATCAGCGCTCCGCACATAGGCGGAAGAAAATGAAACATAAGCAGTTACTATGCAACTGCGTAGATTTCTAACACGATCTGGAGGACTTAGCACATTTTCTTGCAATTATAATGCGGAAGTTCTCGAGTGTTGATATTACCGGGTGACGACACATGCAGCTTTGCATTAATGTGATCTCGAAGACGTGACATTTCGTTTCCGTTTTTAGCTTTTAAGGTGAGATGTGTTATGTACCGTTATTGAGAACTTACTCAACATACTTAAAGGTGAAGGTCGCAGTTTCGTTCATCTGTGCTCGTAACTATATACGGACAAACTAGCGAACTTACATCCCACTGCTGGCGGTAAGCCGTGTGACTACATCACCGTCCTCGTCCTTACACCTGCGAGTACGCCGTCGTCCGCCGCTTTAATTTACCGCTTGGCTGCCGGCATCGTCAATAAGAAGCCGCACGGCGCCGTCCAGTCATCGTTGAGAGCGGAGCGATTCCCATCCAGCTACCCTGCACGAAGTGACCGCGCCGAGACTGCGCCGATCGAAATGACTGCACCGTTCGAAATGACTGCACCGAATCTGTGATTGGCTCTCGGCTTGGCTCGACGGCCGCGCGCTGGTGTGTAACGCAACATGATTGTCCGCCGGCCTCCGCGCCGATCCGCGTGTGCACCCATTAGCTGTGGGAGCGCCGGGTGGGTCGTACGCACGGGCGATCGGCCCGCCTCCTCCCTCTGATCGGCCGCCGTCCGTCGGCTTATCTGAAGAGGCCATCGGGTTTATCCGGGCCGGGAGTCGATATGAGCTCGGCAGGAGTGTTTTTGTCGGCTGCAGTCTCCGGCGGCTCTTCCAGCGCGCCGTGGGTGGCGGATCTCTCTCTCTCTCTCTCTCTCTCTCTCTCTCTCTCTCTCTCTCTCTCTCTCTCTCTCTCTCTCTCTCTCTCCCTGCCGTCTTCCGCCCCTCCGCCCGGTGCAACACACCTTTGCGGCAGACCGACGCCCCTCCCCGCCCCATCCCCCGCACCCCCTGACGTCATATGTTGTACAAAACACACCCCCATCAGCGCGTCTGACGCCCCCCCGCGGCGGCTCAGCTGCCGGCCCCGGTGTAAGCTGATTTCCCCACCCAGCAGCCCAGCCGGCACTGCTGAGCGGACCCCGGTGCTGTTTTCGCCCCGGTATTGTACGATGATGAAACGGGGTATAAATGCATTGTGGCATAATCACGAAAGGGGAACTGTTTGGGGCGTGATTTGGATAAATGTGACATTGAATGCGTGCGGAATAAGCTTATTGGCCCTATTGGAAAGCGCGAATCATATGATGCAGATGCGGATCGTTCTCCAACATTGGGCGATGGGCATGTTTACCTTCTGCAATTTTTGCATACCTACACAAACCTTTCTTTGCCAACACCCAGACAAGCTTAGACTCAGCGTGTTTTTAAATCTGTAAATGCTCATTTTACAATTGTTTATCCACTATGACGCTTGCACGGAATGTTACAGCGCATTTTGTTTTAATCCTGCCTGCAACGAGTTTCTTCCAAAAGAAGTGACGCACCGACCTTGGCCAGCTGATTGGCGAGGAAGGATTACCTGCAGATGTTGTGGAGATAGGAGAGTGAGAACGCCAGGGAGAGGGGAGGGTTTGGTTGCACCGCCGCAGCGCATCGTCACATTGGGAAAGGTCAGGCTTCTGAGTGGGCGATGTTGCAAAACTGTCCGCCCAAGGTGCTGGGATGTAGCTGAAGTGTGAGATGTGCGTAGTAGGGGCTGGGGGAGCAGGATGCAGTGGCTTAGCGTTGACTTTAGACTACCGAAAGAGTTTGTAATGAGTTGCTTCATATAATAGGATATTGGTTTACAAATTATGCAGCAATCAAGCTCGAAATGCAGTGTAATAGAGATCCGTTTTAATGAGATACAACGGCCGTTGATGGCAGCATTAATTTTAGCTTCATTAGAAAAAAAAAACACAAATTACCTGAAAGATCTGACTTGGGATGGTGAGGGGGCGGCAGTCGATACGGTTCTTTCTATACATGGAATGACGCCTTGCGGGAATAGAGTGGGATTCTCCGCTCCCTCATCTCTCCGTGATTGGATCTTCATAGAAGCGAGGGCGCCAATCATTTGCGTCACAAGATCAGAGGTGGCTGAGGGGATTGTGGTCAGAGATGAGATAACGCGCCGGACGACACAGAGTCGCCGGAGCGTATGCGATGCTGATGACCTGGTGTAATAGCCTGAGGCGGTCCGCGGTCAGCGCAGGAGGAGCCTATCAGTTGCGGTGTGACGCGCGGTGTGACAGGACCTGGGTGGTGGGACAGCGAACAATCTCAGTGTTTGTGAGAGATCCAGTCGTGAAAAGTGGATCCATAGTGGTTGAAGTAGGATTACGACGTAATCTTGTTCCACGAATTATTTGTTTGCATGATATCTGGAATATGAAAGCATCCGACTTCGCTCCGCTGAAGGTTGACCTTTCAATCTGAGAGCAAACTGTCGCCGTTTTGCCCGAGTTGGGGACAAATCATCCCTACCCGAGTACCCAGAAGTGCGGCGAATCAATGCAGTGGACGGTTCTGCCGTATTGAACGGAGCCGTCGAGTCGAAGCGGGACGGGTGTCTCCATGCTCTCAGAACTGAGCCCGTCTGACCTACTGCGGAGCTAAAGAAGCCAAATGAAGTGAAGCCTTGGGCGGAGGTCACGAATCTGAACCTCCTCGCTGCAGGTCAAACGCCTCGAGCGATCGAGTTCAACACCGAGCTGACCTCAGGCTCTGCTACTGTCCACTGTGACAAAAAAGCTAATCATCCGACGTTGTCTTGGCGGAGGGGTGTTCCAGGATGCAGAACCGACCCTGAGGCGCGGTTCATTGGCTGGAGTGGACTCGGTGGAACTCTGTGACAGTCTGAGGTGAAGCCTTAGAACAGCGGCCACCGCCGGGTCGGTCAGAGCGACCGCTGCGCTGGGCGGTGCCAGGCGCTGGTGCTCCGTAGGAGTTGGTGCTGCAGTGGTGCTGTGACGTTGGTTCAGCAGCTGTGGTGGTGCTACTGCGGTAGTGTTGATGCACAGTAGTGGTGACAGTGCGTCAATGGTGCTCTAACGTTAGTATCGGTAATAAGCTGACGCCGATGGTGATCGCTCTCGCTCTGGTGCCGAGACTATGATCGTCACCAGTGGTGATTGGTGCGTCGCGGCACCAGTGATGACTGTCCGACTCTGTGCGTGACCTGACCTGACCGACGGCTCAGCGCTCGTCACCGCCAGGCGCGCCCATGAACCCGCTCCTGCTGCTGGCCTTCCAACTAGGTAGGCTGGCGATCCGCGCCGACGCCCGGCAGTCATTGGTCCATATTTAAATTTCCATTTTAATTTTCAGTGTTCCATACACTTAGCTACTGCCGACACCGCCTTGGTTGTGACGGTGTTGAGTCAATTGGGGGTACTTTGTTCGCAGTAATGGGTCAGAAATGGAGATGAATTATGACACCTGTGTCCGCCGTTGAGTGCGCCTTCAGTGAGCAGGTCACAGGGTGGGTCGTTGATTTAGACCGGCCCAGCTATTGACAATCTAAATCAAGCACGGGCTATGACCTCCATCCGTGTGGTCCAATGAGTCAATCGATTTGTAATTTGCATCGATCTGGCTCGTTGGGCGGTGGTGCCAAGCTATGGTTCTTTTAATCAGAGGGACGCTGCGAGGACTTAGGGATTCTTGGTAAACGTGCGGGTAAATTGCCGGGCGAAGGTAGCATTCGGCATGCGACTGAAGGTTCGCGGAAAGCGGTTTACTCGTCGGTTCCAATGCAACATCTTACATAGCAGACCGCTTACAGAAAAAAATATGAATATTTGTGAAAGATGTGGTCTGTCTGCATAAATGCGCCGATATATTGGCAAACTTCCGTTCGAGGTCTGTAGATAAATGTTTAATTCGTCTCTGTTAATTGGAAAACATAATTAAGGCCTTGGCGTGCCAAATCTGACACGCAATATCTACGTTCGACGTTTGCAACCGACGCAACGTCGTGTTTTGCGATAAAGACTGGGAAACATAGTTTGTAAGCATGACCTTCTGCCTCAAACTTGCTTGCCACATTATATCAGTTCTCTTCGCAGCAATCAATGTGCTCACCGATCGCTTCTCAGCTTTTATCCATTTTTATTAGCCCTGATTTGTGTGGTGCTGATCGTTATAAATGCCCTTCCTGTTGTGGTCTTATTTAATTTCATATCCCACGCCACCGACGTTCCAGCGTGGGGCAAAATATGCGCATAACTTTGCGGGAAGCTGTGATAACTTACAAATTGTTGTTCTGGCCGGGCAGTCCGATTTAACGATGATAATACGAAGTGCTTCGGAAGTCCAAACCCCCGTGTCCGACATTCCCAGATTTGGACCCAATCGGTGCTCCTGACTATAAATGATGGCTCTGACCTTTGGGCTGCAACCTAAAGGTGGCCGAGCTTTAAATATCCAACGCATGACTCGCCAACGAGCATTAGATACAGATTGATTGGGGTCATGCTGCGTGACCTCTCACGTCCTCGTATTGACCTTGATTGACCCTTGTAGCTTTTTGTGAATCCTTGTTGACTACCATTTGCACTATGAGGCGTGTCTGACCCTATGTGACCTTATGTATCCCATGTGGCCAAATATGACCCTATGTAACCTCATATGACCTTACGTGACCCAGAGTGACCCCATGTGACCCGTGGTTGCAGTGTCACTGGCGCCGGACAGCCCCCGGCTGGACTGGTCCTATATGACCCATGTCACATGTGACCCAATATGACCCATGCGGCCCCATCTGACCCCGTGTCTCCTCCGTTCGCAGTGTCACTGGCGCAGGACAGCCCCCGACTGGAGCTTCTGCCGTCTGCACCGGAGAACCGCCGAGACATCGGCGCCTCGGGCTACTTCCAGTGCAAGGTGATCGGTCAGCAGGAGGGTCTCATCAGCGACCTCGTGTGGACCGACCCCAACGGAAACGAGGTGCCGGACGAGAGGAGCAGTCGGTAGGTGGACGCCACCAGGCGCGCGCGGGGGATGGCAAGGGAAGGTGCAGGTCTGCCTTAGTGGGTCGCGAGGGTGAACTTTGGATGGACGCGTTCGGCTTGACGAAGTGTCTTTCAAAATTGATGACACCTCTTGGCCTGAATCTTTTTCGAATGAACAGTAGTTGACGGATGAAAATCATGGGCATATTTGTTCTGTATATTTATATAACCATCAATGAATTACTCTGAAAGGATTTCTTAGTGCCTATTTTCAATATTTACATGATCAAAGTATTATTAGCTAACAAACCTGTTTTTTTTTTTCATTTTACCATTACCAGTAAAACGCCTTTTGGGCGACCAACGGAGCGAGCGAGAGGATGGGCCTTGCACGTGCGAAATTGCGAGGGGGTACCTCCAACTAACTTGTGCACTGCACCCTACTAACCGGTCTTTAGCGATGTGCCAAATTTCAGCGCAATCGGCCTAGCCGTTCTCGAGATCTGGAAGCGGCACACTGCACGTGCGCACGTGCAAGCGGGGTCCAAGCTGACTTTTGCACGGCACCCTACTAACTGGTCCCCAACCGTGCACCAAATTTGAGCGCAATCGGCCCAGCCGTTCTCGAGATCTGGGAGCGCCCCCTGCACGTGCGCACGTGCTGTAGCACCCCAACCTTAACACATGCAGATGAATTATCTGATGGAGACCTAACTGTGTACCGAGTTTCAATTCAATCGGCCCAACCGTTGTGCCGTTATTGAGGTTGCAATTTTGGGGGTTCTTAAAGAATGTCCAACTTTACCACGCGCCACGTGCGGTGTTTGGCAAGAACGCATGGTGGCCATCACACCACAGAACTTTTACGTCCAAGTGACATTCAGTAAAGAAGACCGCTTGTCAATCGGATGTCCCGTTCCTAAGATATTAGCTTTTGAAGAGCGTCCCCACGGCCGGCCGGCCGGCCGGCCGGCCGCTCATACTCAGGATTTTCCCTTAATTCAGTATGAGACTCCGCTCGCTTCGCTCGCTCCGTAACCACCAGCTCCAGCTGCCACCGATTAGCAGTATGTATAGCAGTGACAAATCGAGCCGTACACCACATTTCCGTCAATCCGAACGCGTTCGATTCTTCTCGCTCTGTCAGTCAGTTCTTTCATGCCACTTCTGACTTCTATCTATCTAATTATTCTATCTATCGATCATCTGGTGCTCAGACTCCGTCAGTCGTCTCGCTAATGCGTCATTCGGTCGCACTTTCCGTATCTGTCTGTCTGTGTGACGTCACACGCTGTGTTTGTGACGTCACACGTCTCTAACACCGATCTCCCCCTCTTCCAGCCTACGATCTCCCAGGTATGCTGCCTGTTTGCACGCCCCCCCCCCCTACCCGGCGGGTGTAGTGGTCCCTGTAGGACTGTGGTAGTGTGGGTTGGGTCGATAGCTACAGTGCAGGTGAACCGTAACGCCGCTTAGCAATTCTCAGTACTAGCTCTGATAGATGACAAGCTATTTTTGGGTTCATTGAAACCAAAAATACTTCAAAAAAATACTGAAATAAAAAATATGAAAAATCACCCAAAAATAAGTTCTTCAGAAAATAAATACAGCGATAGCAGGTTAGGGACCATTTTCTTCCAAATGTTAAGGTTTCTTGCAGTTGCTTCGGTAGAAAATGAGCCGTAAAAAATGTACCTATCCAAAGTTGGGAAAGGTCATACAGTTCAAGCTGACTTCTACACTGGTACTAGGTTGCAGAGAAGGTAAATGAGCCACAAGTTCTCTGAAGAAATCAGTGTTTCGTTTCCACACGAGATACTCACTTGTGTAGTTAGCGAGTAAAATGCTTGTTTGCTCTGTTACGTCAGTGACACTCGGAAACAGTTGCAGCTCTGAGCTAACCCCCTAGTTCAAAGTTCAAGGTCATTGCCACCTCGTTGCCAAGGGCGTTACCGGACTTAACTACCCAATCTTTCACGGAATGTTGTTAGTTGAATGCCTAGTAGAAAGCGAGCAGTAATATAAAGGTGTCGTCAAGGCTGAGCTGAACTCGACTAAGGTCAAGGGCTGTTTTTATTGCTTTAGCTGTGTAAGCCCCGTCCGTAAAACCTTCACTAGCTGTTGCGTTACTCAGTGTTTTAATGCGTATGATCTTGAATGTTTGCCTTGCATTGCATGCCGCCTGATCCGAATGTCACGTTCCTCGTTTGAAAACAGGTCAAATAGAGCTCACTAAGGTGAATGACGCATTTATGCTCTTTGTCCCGGTTTTGTCTGGGTCTTGGCTGTTTGGCACGGTGTCCTTTCGTCTCGAGTGTTCACATATTTTCAGCTTGCCCCCCCCCCCCCCAGTCAATGCCTGCAAGCCAAATTATTGGGTGTCATGGCAATGTAGGATGAAAATAACCATGTTTTTGCATTGGTGGCTGGTCGGGCTTTAACTTGATAAATATTACAATTTACAGGGTAATTGTTTGTGGAAGCTTCATGGCTATTGATTGGTGTCGAATTGTTCCTCTAGATGTGTACGTCAACGTGTCCTTATTTTATCATTCCCATACGGGTTGTGTTTTTCAGTAAATTATAAAACCTTGTCAGCGGCAATTTTAATTGCATGTTACTGTTATCAATAATTGTTCAATGTTCATAATGATATCAATGTGATGTCAATTACTTGAGTGTGAATGAGTAAGAATATGTGTCATTGTGACGATTAGTAAACGCACAGTCCAAGGTCAGACTCTCGTGAGTCGCTTCTCACTCTTTCAGTTCTTACATTTCGCAAAATGTTCAGCCTACAAAATTCCAAAACGCTCCCATTCCGCTGAGGTGCAGTGTTATTGGGACTGCCTGAAAAGTCGGCTGGCCGTTCCGTGGTAAATGTCGAGACGGCCACCCCTGACAGCTATTACCGTGCCCGTGCCACGTGTAATCGGGGAGCGATTTACAATCCGGTGGTCCCCTGACTCCGCGTGGACCCTCGTGGTCTGTTGTGCACGTGACACCACGTGCTGGCGCCATGTGCTATGGCGTCAGAGACTGCTGGTCGAATGCCGTCACGTTCGCACGTGCACCAGATTGGTAATGAGTGTCAAATTGTCACGAATGCAATGGGCTCCTTCAGTTACAATGCTCTAGCTGTTGTGCGGAACTGGCTTATGCAAATTATCATTCTTATGCGGCATTCGGTATTCGGCAACCCATTGGTTTTCATTTCGTTTCATCAGCTTCGGATCAAAACTGTTTCATTCAGTTCGAATTTTCCTTGACGAGGAAACGTGCCGAGCAATAAATTACCTGTTTACCGTTCAGTCGACCTCATCTCTGTACGAAAAAAAATGGTCCAAACGCACCTTCCACTCTAAGTATCGGTAGCGAGGTGTGGGGTCACCTGCCTTTGTTGTTACCACCATTGACCGGTGCTGCGAGCGGCTCGCGCTGGTCATCTATCACCGTCGATCGTTGGCCGATCACGGTGTGACCCCGACCTTAGCCGGCGCTCATTTGGACGGTGTTACCGACCCCCGGCTAATGCTATATCAATACACCCTGTGGCCGACGAACAGTGGCGCTTTACAAAGCGGCGCGCCGGCAAATAAGATCAGTATTCCGGGCGGACGGTTTGTTTGATATGCAGAGGACGGTTGTTCGCAGCCACCCGGCGGAATATGAATGCAGGCATGATGCATAATGCAGTCTTACACTATCTGTGGGTGAAGATTTGGCGCGGAAGTGTGGCTGGGGATGATTGTTTTAGTGCCTGGCGCGGCCATGTTTGAGCATGCTACTTTGTGGTCTGAAAGATAATGGGATGTAGATCGCGGTACGCATCACTGTTTAACCTGTAGCTCAGTTGGTAGAGCGTTGGACTCCGCGTGGTGAGAGCACGCGTTCCCGGTTATAACAGTCCGGGTTCGAAGCGCGACGGGCGCTCGACATTTATGGGCCTCCTGACAGGTATGGTTGCGGTTGGTGGCAGGCCGTAGCCAGGCGAAGTCAGTGAGGGGACCGGCCGTGCGCGGCTATGTGCGCACGTTAAACTTTGGACTCTAAATTCTGCCATAGAACTGGAATTGCGCGATCGGAGGGTAGAGGGCAGAGTCACCGCAACAAGCTTCGCTTAGCGGTGGCTCTGTCCTTGTGAATCCTTCCTAGCAAAAAGGTTCGGACTAAATTTATTTAAAAAAAAAAAATATAAAAAAACCTACTCGTCTTTAACCGCCCATTGAGTCAAACGTGGAACCTCATCAGAATTCAGACCCCTCCTTCCCAATTGAAGCGCTAAGCAATTCAATTTCCATGCTTGCCCGACCTGACCTGACCTGACCTGTACCTCAGGGTGTACTCGTCGTCCAAGGACCCGAGCAAGGAGCTCGATTTGTACGTGACGAACGTCACCGAACACGATTCGGGCGAGTACACGTGCAAGGCGCGCTACGGAAATCAGGAGATCACCAACAAGTTCAACCTGCTCGTCTACAGTAAGTACCGCTGTTTCGCTGTTACCGCTGTTTAGTAAGTACATGTTTCACTCTGGACTTCAGTTGTGGAACTATGTCTAGTTAGTGGGCTATGCAGTTTTCTCACGTGATTATTTCCGGTTCAGATGAAAAAAGCAATCTGAAGGAAATGACATAGGCCAGGTAGGAGTTTTGAGGGTCTCGCGCTTCTGAAGATTCGTATGCACGGTTTCGTATTCTGCGGTTCTCGCACATTCGAAGTTCTTTATGTGAGGTTTCGTATTCGGCAAGGGCTACTAGCACTCACGAGTGTAGCAAGCCTACCGCTTCATTACCATATTCGATTGTTTAATTTTACCGCCACTCCCGCCGAGAACGTTGCCAAACCGTTCTGCAGTCCATGCAGGCCGGTGCCCTGAGCCCATCACTCGCTGCACGCAATCTGCCCTCGGGGCGCGGCTCCATGCGCTGTTGACGGTAAAAAATCCGCCGCTTTTGGCCGCAATGCTCACAGGTTATGAGCGTTGATTACACTATATGTGCCATCACCGCGCCGGTTAACATTCTGGCTTCGTTGATAACCTCGCTGGAGGCCGTGTAACGCGGGCTGAGCGAGAGGCAGGCCGCTCGAACCGGAGCTGGGGTGGGGTGTACCTGCCCAGCAACTACTGCCGTGCGAGGGGGCGGTACAGGCGCCGACGGTGCTGGGTGCTGGGTACTGACGCCATTGTTGCGCTGGTGTTGGTCGTTGCGGCAATATGGCTCGTAACATGCTCTGAGGCATGTCATTGGTGTTGTTTGACCAGGCACCGACGGTTTGATGTTCCATGGGCGATGACCGGTGAGACTGATTCTTTGTTGCGTTTGAAATAGCTTCGGGTACTGGATCATATGTTTCTGTTCGTGATTTCCAACTACCTCTAGTTAACGCTGGGGCATCCTCAGGTCAGTGGAGTTACTATGACCCCTGATAGGACTTTATCACTCACTTGGGTCGCCCACAGGTCACTCTGAGGTCGCTGAGGTCGCTCTGGCGCCACTCAGAGCTGTTCTTTTCTGGAGCCTTGCTCGGTCTGTGTCCTGTCTAGACGAGAAGACACTCCACCATTGTCGGAAGCTGGTCGGATCTGGACCCTGGTTTTGCCTAAGTGGCTGCGGAACTGACAGACATATATGTCATGTGTCCGACTGGCCGCAGCCCGTTTGGGAAACCATTCTCAGAACGAGAAGTTTCCAGAATAGGATTGCTGCCGACCGCGGCCGGCTGACGGGTCCGATTTGTTTGAGCTGACATAAAACGATGTAGCTCGGCTTTGTTGCGGGTGTGTAACTGGGCCGTCAAACTTTAAATCCAGTGCTGCTGATTGGCGAGCTTCACATTTATTCCGGAACTGCTTTGGTTTGCAGCAGAAGCATGACCGGTTGCGTTGTGGTCTTCCAGGAACATGACGTGGTAGTAAGCGACAGGGAAGATGGTTTTCCTGTGAATGTAGCTACTTAGATCAAACACTACGAGGCATGCATGTTAATTAATGAACTCATTTAGTAAGTTATGTCCGACATACTTTGTGAAGTGTTATGCAACATTCATGAAGTTAACGTAACTGAATCTTGCAAGGCTGTCTCTGCAAGTGCAACCTACCGGACGTATTTTCGTCCTGAAGCCGGCGGCAAATTACCTATGCAACATCGTGTGAAAAACTATATTCCTTTCCAATGCGTAGCTTTGCTACCAACACGTCTCTTCGCCGCATTCACACTGAAGCAGCCAAGCAACCTCAGTGTTAGCCCGGACCGGATGCGGAGGGTCCGTACGGCCCCTTGCACCCCTCTCCCGAAGGGGCGGTGTCGGGACGGCGGTAGCTAGCGTCCCCGGGAAGCGCGTCCCGCTCGTCTGATACGACTCCTCCTGCGGCGATCAGTGGCCGGACGGCCATTGTCACCAGTGATGGATTGGTGCCGCAATATTGGTGTGTGTCACCAGGCGTCACCGCAGGGTGCGGGGGAGAGAGGGGGGCGCCGGAGGGGTTCAGCGTTTCGGAGCTCAGAAAGGAAGAGAAGCATCCAGTGGGCGGAGTCTTGGGTTCGAATCTCGCCGGGACCCCGCTGGGGTCGGTATGTCGCCAGATTGGCCGCAGGGGTGCAAATTCGGTCCCTGAGGGGACAGAAGGGGATCTTGACAGTGGGGGAGAGAAGCAGACGGTCTGATGACGATGGATCCGATTAATTTGCGCCGTTTCCGGCTATTAGGCAGCCCGGAATGAGATGCGGGGACTGATGCGGTGGTGATTCATCACGAGTGTGACGACCGTGCCCCACCCGACCGTGACGCTCACGGCACCGTGACGTCGCTGTGGGGTGACGCTATCGTCACACGACGTCATATGACGGCAGGATGGAAGGCAACGGTCGCGCACGGGAGCAACAGTACAATGAGCCCATTCTGTTTGAACTGGATTCTTGTGTCTTCTTCTAAGAACCATGTTTCTTGTCTGTCTGATGATGAATGATGAATGCTGAAGCATGATGGTTTTCTGTACTTCTCACGACGATATTCTTTTTTTTTTTGTTAAAAAGACAAGTGATAACTTGATAAAACTTTCAGTTTCTCAACTTTCAGCTACATATTAATGACATATCCTCCGACGCTTCATAAAAGAAACTGCGCCTCAAGTTACACAATAAGAGCAGTCTTATGTGAGCAGACTCATCCGTCCAGACAACTTATTCATACACATCTCACGTCGCGTTTATGAATTCCCGTCTCTCGTCACCATTGTGCGAACATTCTCACAGCAGTCGTCCTCTCTTTACTGTCTTCCTGCTCTGCTGAGCACCCAGCTCCCCCATTCATTATTCACCTCCCAGCCCGGCGAGCTTCGTAACTTTGACACTGTCTATGTTCCACATCCACTGAAAGAAAACAGTGGCAACTTCAATCGCCCCGCTGCCGCTACCGCTGCGGGCACAAGCGCTCGCCACCCCGTACCATATTTCCTGCGCCGGCCGCGGTGGACACGTTTGTTTTTGTGGTTCCAGACCCGCAGTTTGTGGTGATTGGCTGTCCCATAGATGAATGTACCGGCCGGCGGGGCGGCCCTGCTCGTGCGACCTCTGTATTTACCGTCGTGACGGCTCGGTGTGACGACGGATGATAACAAAGTGCGGCCGACAGACGCGGTCTAGTTAGCTGCTGCGGCGGTGCGGCGGCCTGTGTGAGGGAGGTGTGTGTTTGTTTGACGTGGTTCGCCCTGATCCAGTTCGGGTCCTCTGATGGATGTAAGGCCGCTACAGCGGCGCTGGTTTTGATGTGAAGGCCGCGCTGTTGGGTTTACCTTGCACGGCCTAGGTATTTATGAGATCAGATGGTGGCTGTTGAGATTAAAGTGATTTAGTGACTATGACTGTGAATAGGCGAGGTCGCGCTTGTGTTTCCCATTTCGTTAACGAGAACGACACGAATAATTCCATTTTTAAAAGTAAAGAACTGGTAAACGATAAGACTACACCCTTTTGGCAATTGTCTATTTCTGAGCTTTTAGCCAGTTCGACGTGATTTATTTTCCGATGTCCTCAGGCGCTATTTATGCTCATTTTCGCCCCACTGATCAGAGGCGACCCGTGTTGGGCTACTGGAAGACGCCGGTGTTTGCCCTGGCCTCCGCTCAGAAGACGCTCCTCTCTCCTCGATTCTCTCCATCTTCATTCTTCTGCCTTTCCTACCACCCTCTCCCTCTCCCCCTCTCTCTCTCTCTCTCTCTCTCTCTCTCTTTCTCTCTCTCTCTCTCTCTCTCTCTCTCTCTCTCTCTCTCTCTCTCTCTCTCTCTCTCTCTCTCTCTCTCTCTCTCTCTCTCTCTCTCTCTCTCTCTCTCTCTCTCTCTCTCTCTCCCGCCAGTGTTGTCCCGTCCCGAGAGCTGACCGTCCCCAGTCCAAGATGGATCACTGTTTGCCGGCCTCTGCCAGCTCCATCCGCCTGCCGGCCGTTCAAATGAGATTTTCGAGCAAAATAAAACGAGCTGACTGCATACTTTCAACGGAGAATGTAAAGTAAAGGGGAAGTCTTAAACGATGTGTGACTGTAAATTGCACTTAGACTCTGTCATGGAATGCGCAGTGAGCATCAATCTTCGATTCGTTGCATTAAACCGCATACCTTGTAGTTACTACTTATCCCTATTATTGCTTATGCTAAATGCTAAACACTGAAAAAAAAATGGCTTGCAGTTTTTACCGACGTCACAAGGGTTTCTGTATTCTGTCGATTTTATTGTCATTTGTGGTGTTAGCGTGCCTCCATGTTCGTTATTCTTCCGTCAAAATATGCTGCTTCTGAAACATTCTCTTTCTTCCATTTTCTGCGCGGTGAACGATCCTTTACAAACGTCAAAAGCAGCCCGCCGCTGACCAATGCGACAGAATGTTAAATTCGGCCGTCTGTGGCCACTTCCTCCAAAATCCATCTCCGTGGCCAGTGAGGAATGGTCGGCGGCTCCCCATCCCCTTCCTTTACCCTCGGCTCTCCCCTTTCCCCTACCCTGACCGTTAATCAACCCAGCCGGGGACGAAAATGTCCCGCAGCTTATCTGTGATGCGACTGCCACGACCACCTGTCTCGGCAACAGCAACATTTGGCGGCGCCGTGAATTATTGACTACCGTGCCATTGCAGACCTTCCGTGATAGCTGGCGTTACAAATGCAGCATGTTTGGCATAAGTGATGTATCTGTGCATAATCAAGCACCTACTCAGCATGAATATTCATACAAAATCGCATCAGTGTTATTTATGCGTGCGATGCTTTAGACGGTTCCGATATCGTTGTTCCAACAGTCTACATCAAGGCGTTGCCGCTTCTTTTGAGTAGCATCTCGTCTAACACAGAGTACCCTATCTTACGCCTCCTTGCATCTGCACCAATAGCTTCTTGCTCCACTGCACACCACTGCGGACACTGGCACCACCCACGCCAGTTGGTGGCTGCAAAGGAGCCTTCCCTCCCCAGACTTGTAATGGAGCGGCGG